TGCGTTTTTGCATGTATGTAAATTGCAAAAACGCATATTGGGAAGAGGCTGTGTGTGTGTCTGTGTCTGTGTCTGTGTCTGCATGTGTAAGCGTGTTTGTGCGTTTGTACTTTTTGTCACCCACTTTTAACTCGAGAATGAGAAAAGCTAGAAAACTGAAGCTTTGGGAGTACGTGTCCATACCATGCGCGAGCTTCCCGTTTTAATTTCATCCCCCTCGTGCCTGATGGACGGTTTAAAAAATGTGCAAATTTTTTGGCGGGAAAGAGATCCTGGAAAGCACGTGAGCTAAGGGGCTGAAACTATGTATGGATATTTCCTGTGCATTTGCTAGCTAAAGATTTCAAATTCAGCCCCCAGGTATGCGTGGTATTCATGTAAGGGCGTATGAAAGTTTTAGAGGGAAAATTGTCAACTCGGGTACCAGGAAAGCTAGAAGGCTGAAATTTTCGGGGAATGTCTCCTATCCAAGTACAATTCAAATATTTCAAATTTGAGCCCAAGTTATGCATGGTGCTCAAGTAAGGGAGTATGAATGTTTTTGCAGGAAAATTGCTAACTCGGTAAGCAGAAGAGCTGGAAGGCTGAAATTTTAGGCGGGCGTTCCCTGTCCACGTACAATTTAAAAATTTGAAATTCAGCTTTCCAAGCACGTGGAGTATCCAAGTACGGGTATGTGAAGGTTTTGGCGGGAAAATTGCTAATTCGGTGACCAGAAAAGCTGGAAAGCTAAAATTTTGACGGAATGTTCCCTGTTCAAGTGCAACTTAAGCATTTCAAATTCAGCCTTGGAGTGCGTGATTCTTATGTACGGGCACTCAAAAGTCTTGATGATAAAAATTTCCCACTGAAAAACTAGGTTACTTTTGAAGAACAACTGTTAAATGGAAATTCTACATTTACTTTGCAAAATTTATGGTGAATTATGCTAGTCACCGCAAAATATAGGTGTAAAGCAACAGCCATTCATACAGTTAGTGACCTGAGTAATTCAGGTCCGGTGCAAAAACACATGATCGCGCAGGTCTATCCGGTGCGCTCTAGCCTGGGTTGCATTTGTTTATGTGCTAAAACACATAAAAATCCTTATATTCTTAAATACAATGCTTTTGCCCTTAAAGAGTTAAATGACCCGGAGTTTGATTTGTAAGCGAGCTGCAGTGACTTAAAAGTGATTCTGCTCGTAATCGAAAGCTGCACAAATTTTCGATTGCTCGCTAAATTTCCATCACTATTCAGCAGATATGCAATCACGCAAATAAATTGATTTTTATGCGTTTTTGCTGGCTGTAGCAGCACTATAGCGCTGCTACAGCCAGCAAAAACGCATATTGTCGAGCGACTGTGCGTGTGTTCAGAAGCGAGTGTATTTTTTCACCCACTTTCATTTCAGCAACCAGGAGAGCTGGGAGGCTGAAACTTTGGGTATATGTTCCTGCTCCGTGTGTCACCCTCCCGTTTCAAGATATTCCCCTACAAGCGTCTATTACGCGCACGGGCCCCCTAAAAAATATGCAAATTTCTTTAGCGGGAACGATTTCGCGAACCAAACGAGATAGATAGCTGAAAATTTGCAGAGATATTCTCTATGCATGTGCGAGCTAAAAATTTTAAACTCAATTGTCGATCACGCTTGTGAAGCGTGTACGATCACGTCAGATTTGCAGCTTAGGTACTGTGCTAACTCGAAAACTTGCCAAAAAGCAATGGCTGAAATTTTATCAGCATGTTTTTCGCCCATATAGAAAACCGTATGCCTAAAACGAGCAACGAATTTCACTTGCGTCAAGACTTAGGGCACTTCAAAAATATTTGTAGCAAAATGGATATTTCGCTCGTCAGACAAGCTGCTAGGCTGAAAATTCGCTGGCTTGTTTTATTTTCAAGTGCAGTGTTCATTCTGCTTGGAGGTAGAATTCCCTACAGGAGGCATGAGAAATATTCAACTTTACCGAAAAATCAGAAACGAGTGCGCTTTGTAGCGAACGGCCGCCCTCACTCAAATATATAAATGAAATTAGTTAATTTGCATACATGGATTTTTTGTCAAGCGGCCACTCGAGCAACATTTCCACTTTTTAGCAAACTGGAAATTTGCGTTTGTCATTCTTTTACAATGCGAGCATTTACCAAAAAAACAACCGGACTTCATGCAAGAAGCCTGTAATCATGCACCTGGATGTCTGTGCGGCTCTGCAATGCACCACCTTTACCCCTACTGACTCCCTTCCTCCTGCATCTCGAAAAGGGCCAAAGCACGGCCAATATGAGCCGAAATGTTAGGCTAAAGCATAAGCATCATTCCTGCTAACAGCGATCTGCGACTTTAGTGTGAAAAAACGCATCATCGCACCGGAAAGCCTGGTGCGTTTCCAGCCTGGATTAATTTTTTGAACAAAGCACGTGGACAGTCACGAAAAAAAAAACAAACAGGTTTGAAAAATACCCTTTAGGATCCTCGATTTGGGTTTTCTCCAGAGAGTAAGGCAACCTCCCAGGATTCAGTATTTCAAATATAACACAACCGAATGCCCACACGTCAGTTTTTATGCTGAATCGACGACATTCGAGTGCCTCTGGATCCATCCAGCGCCAGTGTAATTCGAGTAAATCCAAATCTGGCGGCTGCAATTACGTGTGTGGTTTTAAGTTATCGAAGGCGAGTAATAAAGGACTGTTTCTAAACATCAGAACAGTTTTCTGTTTCTGCTGGCAATCAGGCTTGGCGAGAAGCCTGATTGCCAGCTGACTGATAACTATAGCACGAATAAAATCAAAATATTTGACTGAGATAATTTTCTGCTCCATTTGGCAAGTTGAGTATTCAGAAACAACGAGTTCTTGGCATGTTTCGATCCAGAGAATGTAAAACTATCTTTTGTTTAAGATAATTTGGATAAAGTCGGGTAGGCTCTTCAAACTTCTCAGCTCATAATCGTTTCAAGAAAAGAGACGAATGTTAGGACCACCAGCGGGCTACCCACGCAGCAATCTGGCAATGGTCAAGGTAACTCGAAAAGTGGAATTGGAAACTATATAGTTGAAAAACCGTGAAAACAATTAAAGGTGAGCAAAATACGGGAGTAAATCGTAGGTCTGAGAAGTTGTGCATGGGAGATCACAATTTCAAAACTTCCGATTTATGCAAGAAAGCATAAAAATTTTTAATAATGTAGTTTCTTAGAAGACTACTGACGCTGAGTTGATGCAATAGGGTGATAGCTGTGAGCTGTGAAATACACAACTTACCGGATAAGCTAAAATATGCAAAGGCAACATGTAGTCGGTGATTTTGATGGCCATTGCGAACTGGTGCTGCACATAGACAAGGATATTTGCTGCGCGAAGATCCCGATGACACAGCCCATTGTCTTCCAGGTAGCGCATCCCGGCTGCTATCTGATTTAGCATCATTTTCCCCTTAGGTACAAAATTTGCATTTGAATGAGGTAGTAATCTAGCCTGCTAGAGTAAAATCTCGCAGAAACAGGTAGTAGAGCAAGTATACGCCTCCAAAAATTTCGGATTTATTCTCTAAAAATTTCAGCTTTAGATTGCATGCGTATTTTAACGTAGTTGTGCATATTTAGAGATGAATTTAGGATTTCTTCAACGAAATTCTGGAATTGTATGAGGGTAAGTCAAGTTCGCTATGAAAGAGCTATCTTTGACAAACGGAATGCTTTTCGCTGAGCTTTGAAACCAGTGCACTGGATGCAAAGATGTGGCATATAACTCTGCCAAAATGTTATCAATTTTTCAGACAAACACTTAGCAGATTTTATCCTGAAAGTGAAACGCCCGTCCTCTTTCTCTCTGCCCCTTTGCCTTTTCCTTCGCTCTTCTTATAGCTCTAGAACTTTACTTAACGTCACATAACATCGGATAAATTTTGATTTAGACATTCATTCCTGAAAACTTTGATCGAAGTTAATTGAGTTATCCCACTATTCTAAATTTTTTCGAATTGGACAACAACTGAGAGGATTTTGCTGATTTCACGGAATGCTAGTAATACTTTTTTCAAAACTCCATTGCCCCAATTTCACTGAAACAGAAAAGGGCTAGTTTCAAAATGAGCAGAATGATACTAACAGATGAAAGCTTTTCACCTTCCCAAAACGACCTGTAGTTGCTAAAACTGACCAAACAGCTGACCTGGTATATAATTTCTAGGTTCGATCGATGCGGCAAAGGCGGCAGGCCGTCCTTTTTCCTCATCACAAGCGCAGCGTCCAGTGCGTTTCCGTACACGAATTCATAGGCAATCCATGGGCCATGAATCTGAGAGAATAAGTCGTACCTTTTTTGCAAGAAAACAAACTGCTAGAGGGAATTGTATAATTTATGGAAAGCAGTAAACGTTTCTAGATAAGAAATAATAAATCTCATGTTTAAAAACCAGCAGCTGTTGGTACTTTGACGTTGTTTTTCAAAAAATTTACTTCAAGTTTTTGAAATTGATATTATCAAGTATTTTCTTCAAAATGACCCTCAAAAAACTGCGTTGGTGGCGAGAGAATCGCTACAATGAAAAAACAGCTCATCCAGTTATTTGTGTACAAGGAGCAAAATAATACAAAACCTGCTGGCAGCCGGCGCAGAGATGCGCTTTTTGCACAGTTTCCCCGCAAGTTTTTGTCGCCAATGACACTGCCTTTGTCAGGTGCATCTGGCTAAAAGAAATGAGAGCGGCCACCACAGCTGTTACAAATTACTAGAATGACTGCCAATCAATGCCCAAAAAATTCAGCGTTCTAGATGTTTCGGCTGCGCAGTTGCGTTAAATTTCATGTGTTAGAACGTTAAGAGAAAATGAGCGCTGTTCACGTGTACGTTTTGGCCCAAATGCGGCCCTAAACCACGTTCGGAGAATTCCAGCACTCCAGCTGATCAGTATACATCAAATTTCACGTATTCGTGTGTGAAAGGAAACGTGGACGCTGTTCCTAAGTAAATTTGTTCAAGCAAGATCCTGGGCCAAACTCAGAAAATATCAGCACTTCAGCTATTTTGGCTGCGGAGTTACATCAAATTTCACATGTGTGTACGTGAAACGTAAGTGAGACATAAAAGGGGCGTGAATGTCGTTTTTACCTGGTCAAACGTCGTTGTTGGCCATGCTCAGAAAGTTCCAGTCCTCTATCTGCTTCAGTTCTGAAGTTACAAAACTTCTCACATGATATTTTCACGCACCCGCAATATGAGATGCGAAGAGGCTGGAAAGCTCAATTTATTTTCACGGCATATCAGTGGATGTCGAGTAGTACTGCAAGATTACAGCGCTCTACGAACTTCTCGGTCATCTTAAATTTGGAGCTGACACGGCGCCAGCTTAAACTTCGACGTGTGCGTAAGTGAGACCTAAGTGTGCGTGAAGGATAAATTTGAAAACTTAGGAGTACATCTTTGTGAAGTTCCTGATTTCTAGCTTGTGCCGTTTCTGTCCATTTTGAGCATAGGGGGACATACATATGCACAGATTATGTTGCTGGAGTTTCAGCCTTGTAGTTTTTGTAGATCTCGAGATGAAAACTCGGCGCAGACGCACATGCCGACAAAGACACAGACACAAACAGACAATACGCGTTTTTGCATTGCATAGATGCAAAATACGCATAAAAAGCACAAACTGGATCGTGAATACTAAAGCCAGCAATTTTGCACAGGTACTCTGCTCCTTGAATATAATGCGCTTTACTCCTGCAAGCATCACACATGTTTTTACTGTTCCAGTTAGGCTATAAACCAGTCTTCAGTGTGCCCTCATTTCACGTGAGGGTGGCGGAAAAATTTCCAGCTCGAGAATTGGAAAGGCTATGGAGTTAAAATTTTAGAGGGTTATATCTTATCTGTTTACGACGCTGGATGTTCAAAATTTAAATTCCTCACAAACTATAGTTTCACGTGCAGGTATATGAAAGTTCTGGTGGGAATTTTTCTAAATCGAGAACAGGAAAGCCCAGAAAGTTGTGCAATTTCGGGGGTATTTTCTGCCCCGCATTTGATTCCGAAAATTTAAATTCAGTTTTAATATGTGCTATTTGTCAAGTACGTAAGCAAAATTACACAATTAATTAACCCTGCAAGCTGACAGCCTGAAAAGTTCGAACCCTATATGTCGCGAAATTATTAGTCATGCCTTTATTTTGAACTCAAATGTTTTGCAGAAACAAAACATCCCAGCACTACAAAGTGAAAAATTCTACTCCGTTACGATGATTAAAAAAAATTCTGAGGCAAAATTGTCATTTCGCAATCATTTAGGAACGTTTGCTGCGTATTCCCGAGCATTGTTTCACGTGAATACACAACAGTTCATGTACACATCCCGGAAATAAGTGATTACTTTTTCAAACGCAGAAGTTCTTTATCAGAATGACTACGCTGAACGAACAGTAAATCCAGGCAGTCCTCGAATATATCCTTTTTAACGTAGGTGCTATTAAGTTTTTTGAGGGCCACTTCCTTGATTACACCGTCTGCGTTCAAAATCGCTGCAAGTGTATTTGCCTTCATAAACAAGCAAATACTGTTCAGTCGAGAAATGTATTTCCTTAAAATGTAAGGTTTTTTTTTTGAGGAAGCAGAACCATTACTGGTATATTTTCATAGTAGACACGTTAGTTTTTTTTCGCAGCATGCTTTTTGCTTTTCAGTTAGAATTTAATGGTAACACAGAAGATACGAACATATTAGTAATAATGATAGTAGTAGTAATAACAGCAATAATAGTAGTTATTACTATTATAATTAGTAGTAATAACAGCAATAATAGTAGTTATTACTATTATAATTATAATAATAGATTTTATAATAATAATAGATTTTTAATTAAAGAAAAGAGCAAAAATAGAGTAATATAAAAAAAAGGACAGAAAAGTTTTAAAAACCGGGACGGAGTATTACTTGCTTTTCAACACCAAATTCTAAAGTTTCTGTTTTTGAAAAAATAGTTTCCCCTCTCCTTTCCTCTCTCCCGTTACCCTCAGGGACGGTACATCTCGATCTATTCATAAGTGCTCTTTGAATAGTGGTGTATTTTTGGAGTTAAGTTCCAGTGAAACAGCACGGGCCATTCTGATCAAAGAGGTGGTACACATACATCGAACAGACTGTAGCTGCAAAATCAATTTGTGCAGCTGAGGGCTGAAAGGTCTGGCATAACTGCGTCCCGCATGCGAAAGCGTCCTAGTAATAATACCATATGTGTAGAATATCCACGCTGATAGCCTGGATGGTTCTGGTATTCTTGCTATGTTCAGATGTCAGATTTACACTAATATAACCCGCAAGCCCTCTCTTAATTGCAAGATGCAACAAAATGTTATCGAAAGCAAACTAATTCGTGGAAATACATTTCGTTGCATATTCTGCAGTGCCACAGCTGGAAGTCGTCGGAAGAGAGGTGAATTCCGGATGCTCTTCATGGATATTGTAAACTTCCATTGCTACTAATGATGATTATTTAGAAGATACTCTTACCTCGGTGTGTTTTTCCGGCGTATGCTATCCTTCTCGGTTCCACGCGGTCTGCTGCCATTCTTATTTTGTACTGAATGTCCTGAATTAAATGCATCGAACAACTCAAAACGTTACCAAACGCATCAGAATTATAGCAGTTTTTTAGCAGCTGGTAATGTAGCTGCTACTGCTATAACTCTGACTTGAGAAAAATTTTGCTGATGTGATGCAAAAGCAGTTTTCACGCTTCGGACAGAGAAAGAAACGTTTTCGTTCTCTAGAGCTTGTATAATTGGGTGTCGTACCTTAAGATAAGCTTTTTAACTCTCAGAATCCTGGTAATGAATGGAAACTTCGGGGCAGGCAAATTCAGATACACAGATACATACTCGCACATACAAGTATGTAGGTATAAACTGTTATTAATGCAAAGAAGTATAAAAATAAAATGCACGCGAAACGCACACACGGAGGCAGGGTTTCGACAATGTCCGCTTTTTGCAGTTGTTGCGCAGCACAAAGCGAGTAATAAGTGGGCAGACCGATTAGAAAGTTGGAGAAGGGCAAAGTGCTTTCCAGTTCAGGCGAATTATTGTCCAGCGTCACATAGCCCATCGCCGGTAGTTCACTCATAAATGCAGTTTTGATTGTTCTAAAAGTTGATTTTATGGATAGAATTATATTTTTCGACTCACTCGTAGACTTCCGCTTCAATGAGGGAGCAATTCGACAATCCCGATATCTTTCACACGGTGTAAAGAAGCACGAAGAACCTTTCTGTCGGGGACCAAAATTGGCCCAGTGAAGTGTTTTGGTGTCCTATACGGCATTGCAGGCACTGGTATTTCAATTGGTTTTGGTCCAAGGATTGGCTTTGTATTATATTCGGCGGGATACTGTAGTGCCAGTGGTGTGCCTGCCACCGCTAGCTTTTGATCTGCAGTGGCATTTCGATTTTAATTTTTTTTTTTAATTTTAGGAGAGAAATTTTAGCCAAATTTTAAATTAATTATAGTTCTTTAAACTACATTTTCTCGAGTAATGTTGCTTGGGAAGCTACAGCTAAAAAATACAGTTCATTTCGAGTCTTTTCAAGGGTCAAAAAGCCAGAACTTCTCCAAACTCTCTCTCTCTAAAAGGTGAAGACAATCGGGGTGTAGCTTGTGCAGTATTTGCAACCATACTTTTATTACTATTAAGAAATGAGTTCTGGCGGATAAAATAAGAACCTGTGTAATAACTGAGAAGTTGATAAATCGTGACAAATGTTTCATCGTCAGATTCAAACAGATAAAAGCGCCCCATTCTGAAAGATAAGAAGTAATAAAATGAACGTAATTATCGAATTAAGTCAGGTTAAACACAACTGATGTAAGAGTTACTCGGTTCTTCGAATCCGGATAAAGGCGATGGGTGCTGAGGGCTGCTTCGTACCAGGGATTGTATCCGTTGGGGTTGCCTGTGATGAGTAATTCATCGAAGAGTCGCAGCCGGTAGCAAACTTCTGAGCTTCCTCCCACTCACGATAAAACTGTTCTTCGGATCCTTAAGAAGCAGTTCAATAAAATCAATCAAAAATTGTGTGAAGTAGCACAGCCTTAATATCAATACTTTCGCAGCACTCAAAGATGACATCGCAGCAAACGTATTTTGAACCCTATGGAAACACTTTCCTTTATTCCATCGAAGAAAGTATGAACCCTCAATGAACATGAAAATTTATAAAACATATTCAGAAAAAAAAAGAGATTTCATGACTTTAATTTTCGCTTCAAGCTCCAAAAAGATGTCGAAAAACCCAAAATGAAACGCACCACGCT